GGGGGGGGAGGGGGGCGCCTGGGAGACTCGAGCTGACCACACACTGCAGGTTCACTCGTGGAGGGCACTGAGGCTCAGAGAGGGTGAACAACTTGTGCAAGGACACACAGCCAGTGTCCTGAGGCAAATGGCCATCAAGGGCATCACACACATCTTTTGGTCTCCCCCACTCCCCACCCCCCCAACAAAAAAAATTTTAGAGCTCACTGCTATCAAGTAGATGCTGACTCATACCCTATAGGACTGGGCAGAACCATCCCAATGTGTTTCTGAGACTATAACTCTCTATGGGAGTAGAAAGCCCCATCTTTCTCACAAGGAGTGGCTGGTGGTTTCGAACTGCCGACCTTGAGGGTTGCAACCCCATGTAGCCGCTATCCTACCAGGGCTCCTCTGGCCTCCCAGTGCATAGAAAAGTCACGTTCACATTCTACCCCAGTCGGTGAAGCATGCTGTCTCACGGTGGAAAGGTCTAGAACGTTGGGACCCAGAGACACCAAGAGAGCACGGACCAGCTGGCTAGAGAATGACAGGCTGGGGACAGGCTGGTCACAAACCTCCAATTCATAAAAATAAGTGCAGCATCTGCGACGCGCTATCAGGGCAGGGGCGGCTGAAGGAGGCCCACCTGTATGTGAGGCGCTTGGGGGAGGGGGGGCAGCGAGTTATACAATGCACCGCAAACCACAGGGTCAGGAGTTCAAACCCACCAGCAGCTCCATGGGAGAAAGATGATATCTACCGCGGTAAAGAGTGTGGGTCTTGGAAACCCACAGGGCAGTTCTACTCTGTCCTATGGAGTTGCTGTGAGTCAGAATTGACTCAATGACAGTGAGGGTTTTTTTTGGGGGGGGGTATGTGAACATGTGTCAGCCAGACACTTGGGAGTAAAGTGTTTTACACATACATAACCCCTAAGAAAAGAGGTGTGGGTAAAGAAGGGGGCACAAGAACCAGTACCAGTCACTCCTCTGCCCACCCTGCCAGGAACCTCACCATCCTCATTCATCCCATCCTGACATGGGGGAGCGTCTCAAGAACCGCTGTTTCCCTCCCAACCGCACCCCACATGGCCACTTCCGACCAAACGAAGTGGGTGAGTGTGTTGCCATCCATCCTATCCCGGAGCCACCGAGCCAGGAGGGCCTGTGGGTGCAGGCTGACGGTAGACCCTGGGCCAGCCCTGCCCAAGTGGGTGCCATGTCCATCAGCCCTCCAATGAGGGTAGAAGGGCTTTGTGGCCCCTGCCATCCATGGTCCCTGCCATGCAGGGAAGGAACTAGAGTCGCCAGAACAAAGTCCAGCGTGGCTACTGGTTGTCTAGGGTGCTGCTTGCTCAGAGAGAGAGAGAGACTTGGAAGCCTCCCTGGACACCCAGCCAGCAGCTGTGACCACTTCTGACTCTATGCAGGTGGCCCCAGGAGGTGACAGCTGAGGCAGGCTCCTCCTTCCACAGCCCCTTGAGCCAGCAGCCCGTCTGGTCTGGGAATTTTGAATGGGTCTGCCCTTGCCACCAAGGAGTCCCAGTTGCACAGTGGGTTAGGAAGAGAGCTACAAACGTCAAGGCCAGCTGTTTGAACCCACCGGCTGTCCCAAGGGGGGAAGATGAAGTTTTCTGCAACTGTAAAGATTTATGGTCTGGGAAATCCCCAGAGGGAGTTCTACCCGGTCCTACAGGGTCACCGTGAGCTGGAATCGACTTGATGACAGGAGGTTTGTCTGCCCCTGGGACTACATGAGCCAGGAGGAGCCCACAGCCTGACATCTGACCCACCGAAGCCGAACTTGCCCGCCTGCACAACAGTGTGGTGAGCCATTTCCTTAAGAGAAATCCTCTCTCTCTCTCTCTCTCTCTCTCTCTCTCACACACACACACACACACACACACACACACAGGCTTAAAAACGTTTGTGGACTACTGGTAATGAAAATGTCCCACTAATTCTTTGAAAGGTATTCACACACTGGACACGAGAAGTCGTCATGCCGGCTGACATCACATGCCTCACCTGAGAGAAGTGGTCCCAGCCGCCACCCAACAAACCAACCGATTCAGCGCCAGGAGCCGGGAGCACAGAGTAGGACTGCCCCAGGGCTCCTCTGGCAGCTGGTTTTTAAGTGGATAATGGCCTGAGAATGATGCTAAATATCCACATGGCCCCCCCACCCGCCTCTCAATCATGCTTACTTGGGGGAGTAGTTGCAGACCAGATAGACGGCGTTCTCCCAGAGGTCCCCCCAGACGTTAATCCGCGGGCAGGTGTGCACAGCGCAGCCGACGCGGGTGGTGGTGGCCCACACGATCTGAAAAGACATCACAGTGGTCAGAGTCCGGGGTGGGGGGGATGGTGTCACCTGGCCTCGTTCTACAAGGTGCCAGTGCTGAAGGGGCGTGTCCTCTGTCCTTGTCCTCCCAGCTCTGTCTCCGGAGGTCTCCCGAGGCCAGAGCTCTCCCAGCCCCTCAGGTGGGGGTCAGCCGAGCTGAGCAGCAGGCAGGCTCGAACTTCAGACCTGGCTTCTCTGCAGACCCGCCCCCTGGAGCTGAAAAAAGCGTGTCCTTGAAGGTCTCCAAGGACCCCCAGACCCAGGCCCACAGTGGCCAAGGCAGCCTTCCTGGTGAACATGATGGAAGGAGCCCCCAAGCCCACTCCCAGACTTCCAACCTTGGGGTCCCTCCACCTCTATCCTCTCCTCCTGGGCTGGGGTCTCTCTGCCTCTCTTGGGGGAGGGCTTCTGCTCATACTTGGCTTCCAGGGACCTCGGTCCCCTTGTCCCTCAAGTGGCCTCACAGGGGGTGAGGGTGTCAATGCGGCCATGACTGACTCCTCAGTAGGCTGCCTGGCCCAGGTGGGTATGTCCAGAGTCAGCTCGGAAAGTGAGGGGAGGAGTGGGGAGGGGAGGTGGAGAGGTGAGCAGGGGGGAAGTTAAGGGGAGACGAGGAGGGCAGGGGAGAGGGGAAGAAGAAGGGAGGAGGGCAGGACAAGGGTGGGGTGGGGGAGGGA